TGTTCAAATAGATCTAAGATCCTTTCCTGAACCAGTCTCTAATTTTTTTTTTCTCAAAAATATTTAATTGGAGTGTTTTCTTCCCAGGTCTTTCAAATGTTAAGTAGCTTCTTTTAGTACATGCCAGATTTTTGCTTACATCTGCATATAAACATTCCCATATCTCATTCTAATTAAAGCATTATTATTGATGATAAGTTATGATCATTTACTATATTTACAATGTGGCAGGCATTACTATGGCAGTCACATGAAACCTAATAATCCTCTACGGCACACTATTAGAAGATTTTTACAATGATATATACTCCAGTGAATGCCATTCCATCTTATGAAGTCTGGAAAAATGTAAAAATCAGTTCATTCAGTATTGCTAAACCAGGAGAGCTCTGTTACTTAGCACTTCTATGCTTATCAGTATAATGATAAGGGATATTCACTAATGTTTTAAAATATTAAATTACGTGCAGGATTGTTTCTGTGTTGTGTACCTCTTGTACTCTAATTCTTTGAACTTAATGGACTCAAGATATGTACAGTGATTTGCTACTAAGAGAATATTTTGTTAATCAAAGCATCCTATTAATTGATCATTCTAAAACAATTGGCTGCCTGTAGCTAGTCTTACCCAGTATAACCAGCAACTGTGGGTTTGGTGGGGTTTGTTGTTGTTGTTTTTTTTTTTAATGTAAGAGAGTGTTTTCCCAATCATTCATTATCCTGTTTTTCAGATATATTTTTTAGTAGATTTTTGGAGTGTCAAATAACTGTTTATTACACTGAATTTATTTCTCTCTCTCTTATTATTTTTTTTTTTTGGACATTGCAGGTGAAAGTAGGGAAGAAAAGTTAGGAGACTCTTTGCAAGATTTATATAGGGCATTGGAGCAAGCCAGTCTGTCACCACTGGGAGAACATCGCATTTCAACCAAGATGGAATACAAGCTATCATTTATAAAGAGATGTAATGATCCTGTGATGAATGAAAAACTACACAGGCTAAGAATTCTCAAAAGCACTTTAAAGGTAAGATATGAAATGGAAGGAGAAATTCCTTTTAAGAGATTCATTCCTGAACTCAAAGTGGATTATCAGATACTCCAGGGGACAAAATACAAAATAGCGGGGGGTGGGGGGAGCGGAGGATAAACATACCGAATGCGAAGCCGAAGCCGAGCTGTTTCTTTAGCGTAATGTGTATTTGGCCAAAAGGAAATAATGTTAACTTTTTATTAACATCTCAAAGCACTGACTAAGTGTTATATGAGTTAGTTCTAGGAGAAAACAGGACGTAATTAATTTTTTTTCCAAAAATGCAGGGCTGGTGTTATTCCTCAGTCTTTTGTTTTCCTAAGATAAATATGCCATGTCGTGGAACTAATATAGTTACTAAAAGAACACAGCATGCATGCAGAATGCAATAGTGGGTGCTAAAATTGTTTGAGATATTTTGTGAATATCTCCTGCAGCACATTTGGAGTGATTCATGTTCCATGTAGAAATTTTATAATTGTTCTGTATACACCATCAGTTCCCAACTGACATGTTACTTTCTTATTATACATTTCCATAAGCGTTTACATAGTCTCCAGTCTTCTTCTGCCACCCCCAGATTGAGGAGGAAGTGGTGAGGAAAGGGAAACAGAGGCAGGAAGTTGAAGAAGGAGCCAGAAGAGTCAGCCCCCTCACTCTGTGTGTATCAGGGGAGAGGGCCTGCCATACACACTCTCCCTAAGCAGACCCTGCACCCTGGAAAACTCAAAAACAGAAAAGAAATGTCATACAGAGTTTGTGACGCAGTAATTTCAGGAAACAAAAGGGCAAAGAGCTCCTTTGGGAAATATTGCAGATCTGTAGTATGCTGCTGAGGTTTTGTGAATTTTGAAACAGAGGTGAATACCAAAGAGATAAACAAAATAGGAAATGCATGATTTGAAAACATTTCTGGTAGCAGGCAGCCAAGTTTTCAGTCAATTAGCTTTCAGTTGGTATTCATGCGAATACTATTGCAAATCCGTGGGATAATTTAATGGCCTATTGGTAACTAAGACCAGAATTTTTAAGAGCTATAATATTCATAAGAATAATTCCGGTGCCCAATTCTAGTCCAAAGATATCCTAACCCTCCCTCCTCCCAGAGCCACACACCCCACCCCCATTCAGGTCCAAACCACCAAGGGACCATCTAGCAGAAGGAAAAAGGACAGTGCAAAAGTAACTCAAGACATAGAATGTGGTAAGTCCACTCAACAGCAGTGATCAAGTGTTACGGGGACTTATCTAAATGAAGGAGAAAACATTTTTTCCAGTTGTCGAAGGAAGGGTTCAAGAAATGAGAGGCATATGAACTGGATGTTAAAGAATGAGGAAGGTTTCCGTAGGCAGAGATGGGAAACAGGACAGGCCAGAAGAAAAAATAAACTGTGCAGAGTGGGCAGTACGAGGCATGCCTGCGTGTAGGAAAAAGTGCACTAGTATTTGAGTCTAAATAGCTGAGTTTGAGTATACCAGAGCTGTTTCTTGTGGGCCTCTTAATAGTTTGCCTGTTAACTTTTTATTTTAAATTTGAAGAACAGTCTGTCCCTATTGTAACTGTTGAATCCTTTTGCTTTTCAGGCCAGAGAAGGCGAAGTAGCCATTATTGATAAAGTCCTAGACAATCCAGACTTGACATCAAAAGAATTCCAACAATGGAAGCAGATGTACCTCGATCTTTTCTTGGATATCTGTCAAAACACCACCTCAAATGACCCATTAAGTATTTCTTCTGAAGTAGATGTAATCACTTCCTCCCTAACACACACTCATTCATACATTGAAACGCATGTGTAAGTGTATTCTGCCCTCTGGCCATGTGGTACCTTCTGGTACTTTGAACAAGTATATAAGGTAGTTTTTATATCAACGTGTGGGACACGTGACAAGCTATACTTCAATGTTACCAAAACTATATGAAACAAACCCTATATGGTCATAATACCACTGTCTTTAATGAGCATTTGTATATTTTATATGCAGTTAGTGCTCAGCTTATGTTTACCATGTGCAAAATCAGCTGTCTTCAATGACTTAAAGTTAACTTTTGCAAACAACTCTGAAGACAGGTGGTCTTCAAGTAGAAAAAACAAAAAGGCAGTTTTCTATCTAAGGTCATCTTTTCTCCCTTTAAGTTAATTTTATATAAACAAGACTTCAAAACTAAATCACATTTTTTCAGGTGCAGACATCCTTGTGGGTGGGAAAGAATTTAAACCTTTTTTATATTTATTAAAATGTTCTAAGAATTTTCTTAAACATTGCACAAAGTTTAATGCTGTAGTTTTATTTTTGTGAAATGTAGATGCGCATACAAGAGTTAAGCAAAACAGAAGAGCATCAACATAAGAAAAGTTCAGGTATCTAATATTCGTCTTAATAGTCTATTAACTTGTGAAAGCTGGTTAATGGAAATAGTATTCCAAATCCATGGGGACACTTAATGGTGTATCAGGGCAAAGCTTTGTAAGATGTTTTTGTAACTGAGACCAAAATTGAAGATAGAGCTGCTTTATTTTCTTGGTTTAAATCTTCCTTTATTTTTGTAGTGATGAAATGCTGATTGTGTATAGAGGACTTTGAGAGTGGATTTTTTAAAACACACTTAACTCACCCAGAAAGGCAGCTAACATATATATATGTGTATATGTATATATATGTATGTGTGTATATATATATATATATATACACATATATAAATGATTTTTTTAAACTCCAACTTCTAAAAAGTTACAAGGTATAAACGTAAATGAGTCAACTTCCCAGTTAGGGTCAATTTTCCCCCTAGTCCATTAGTTAAACTTTATATATAATTATACTTCAGGCAGGGAAGTAAAATATGTTTACTTACAGGCTGATGTATGTTCTAATATAGAAAACAATGTTGAAAAAGAAAAATGTACCTCTCTCCTGAGGAGCAAGAGGATGATGGTCATTCAGAGATATATTACATTGAATTATACGAGAGAAACAATTTTTAGAGGTTTTTCCTAGTTTCATGATTTGTTCTATAGAGTGGATGAAGTCTATGAAAAAATCCTCTTCATGTATTTCCATTTATAAGCATCTCGTTTTTGAAAGTGATCACAGCATGATAATGACTGTGCTGCTTTTTAGTGTCTGGCTGCATAACGTATAAGTCACAATTTGCTGGTTTGGGGTTTTGTTTTTTTAGGAGGAGGAAGAGACCCTCCTTTACTATTCTATATCCTAAAATCTACTTCTAATCAGCTTTATACTGTTGCCTGTACAGCTCAGTGAATGAATGTACTTTCATCTCTAAGAGTTCAGATATCTGCCAGTGAATATTTTTGCTGTAGAGGAGAAAGTAAAAACTCCACAGCGGGGATCTTTTCCTTTGCTTTTGAAACCACCATTGAATCACTATCGTTTTGCAGACTTTGCACAACTGTACAGGAGAGTGGCCTTTCTACAGCACATTTTCAGTAATCCTATATTTAGTCAAAATGGATGAGAAATCATGTATTAATGTTTGTATGGAATTTTGGGTCCGGTGTAATATTTTTATCATTTAAAAAAACTATTTGTAAAAACATTTATTTACTGCATGGGTGTTGACGCACATTAAATTTGTGGGATTTTGTATATGTAAAAAAACAAAAGCAAAAAAACAAAAACCTCTTGTCCTAAAATGAAGTGTGCTTGTTACAGGTGTTTAGACTTGTTAATGTTTACTAGACCAAATGCGTACATTTACTTAAAAATATCTGTACCTGATGGATGTGTCGTGGATACAGTGGCCAGGTTGTGCCCTGGAAACAGTGAGCAGTTGATGGAAAGACTAGCTGTGTTGCTACTAAGCGGCTTTTACTTTGGTAAAGTTGTTTTAAATGGTAAAAATTAAACTAATGAATTTTAAAAGACTCGTGGCTAGCCTAGCATGAAAGAGACCTTTTAACACTATATATCTGTACATTTTATTGCATTAGTTTCAAATCTAGGAGAGAGGCAGCACTGTAAACTGAAGTCAAATAAATTCAGCTCTTAATGAATCCTTATAAAGCACCTATTTTATTCATGCAGTCCTCATCACATTTCTTTGTGACCTAATCACACAGCCGCCACCACCCCACCACCCCACCCCCGGTTACAGGTTTTAACTTTGTCACTCCATTGGTGGTACAAGCCAGAAGAAGCACCTGTCCAGTGTATACAAGAATCTTCTCAGAGGTCCTGCAAAATCAAGCTGGTTTCCCATTTACCTGAAAGGAACTTTAAAATTTCACCTACTCCTCTTTCGTTTCTCTGTGATTCTTTTGGGAAGGTGGGGCAGAGGGGGGGGGGTACCACTAAAAATAAACTTAAAAAATATTTTTTTACAAATATTACCTACAGCATGTCTGCAGAATGAACATTTAAAGAGGATGAATGAAATAGGGTTTTGATTTGTTTTTCTTAGGTGTTCCACTAAGCCAAAGAAGCCTGATTATTATGGCTAAGGGCTGCAGAAATAAAACTTAAAACCAATGAGCTGCCAAAAGCCAGGGCAAAAGCAGACTAGGGTAAGTAAGGATGAAGTACAGAAAAACTTAACCTAGGTTATTTTCTCAAAAAAAAATGGTGCTTTCTTAGAGATTTTTTTCCTCTCAGTTCCATATCTATATTAAACTATCAGAGCAGAACTATAACCATGATTCTGGATCATAAAATCATAGTTCTTCCTACAATGATTGCATGTGTTTATTAACCAAGGCACTTTCCCTTCACTATTTATTCAGATAAATATTTATTTATTCAGATAATGCCATCTTCTAGAACCATTTATTACAGTCTTTATAGCTAACAATTTTCTGGTCTTGTACATAATTTCTTATGGTACGTTTTTTGGCTGTTTGGCACAGAAGTAGTCACTGTTTAGCGCCTGGGAAACACTAACTACCAGAGGGAAAATAGGGTCATGTTTTATTTTCAAAGTCCATGTCTAGCCCAGCATGAGAATTTCTAGAAATCCCCAGTTCACTGAAGATGATTCATATATCCTTCTAAATTTGACCCGTCCTGTCTCCCATTCTCAGAGTAAGGGGAAATGTTCCTCTTTGGCCAAGCCTAAGGAAAAGCCCACGGGTTGCTCTGTAAGCCTGGTCAGGCGCGACTTGCTCACTGACCCATTAAGCCCAGCACTAAATCTGGCGCCTCTCCAGGCTCTCCCTCCCTCTCCTCGTCCCCACCCTCGGCCAGCTGCAGCACTGCGCACTGCAGGCCGCTCCAGGCCCAAGGCAGCGCGCAGCCAGTGTCCTCCCAGCGGTCCAGGTCGAGGTCATAACCCACCACGTTGCGGGTAGGCACCTGGCGTGAGTCCTGCCACTTCAGGCCTCCCAGCAGCAGCACCGTCTCGTCGACCACGGCCAGCCCATAGCAGAAGCGGTCGTAGGGTAGCGGCCGCAGCCGAGTCCACTGGTCGGTGCCGGGGTCGTAGCGCTCGATTTCGGAGAAGGGCTCGTAGCGCCCCAGAAAGGCGAACAGCGCGCCGCGCAGTGCGGCCATGTGGTGCCCGAAGCGGGCCGTGCCCATAGGCGCCCTCTTGCTCCACGCCTGCTCCCCGGGGCCCAGGGAGAACAAGTCCCGGAGGCTGTTCGCGCCGCCCTCGCCTCTCCCCGCCTTGCCCCCGGAGACATACACGACGCCGCAGTTCCCGACAGCCCCCGCGTGGCCGTGCAGGGCCCGCGGCAGCGCCCCGGCCGCCGTCCAGCGGTCCCAGCGCAGGTCGTACATCTCCACTGAAGCCAGCGCTTCGCCGCCCGCGCCCAGGCCCCCGACGGCCAGGAGCCCCTCACCCACGGCGCCGCACCAGAAATGGGCCCGCGCTTCCCGCATAGCGGGCACAGTTGTCCAAGCGCGGAAGCGCGGGTCAAAACGGTGCACTTCGGCCGTGACCGCCCGCAGGCCGTCGGCTGTGGGGGAGGAGCCGCCGCCCGACGGGGTCTCCCCGCCGAGGACGAACAGGAAGTTGCCCGCGGCGCACACGCTGTGTCCCAGTAGCGGAGCGGGCAGCCGCGTGAGGCTGCGCCAGCGGTGGTTGTACCCGTCAAAGGCCACCACGTCCTGGGTAAGCTCCCACTCCTCCTCCTCCTCCACCTGCTCCTCTTCCTCCTCCTCTTCCTCGGGCTCCGCCGCGGCGCCCCTCCCCCTGGCTGCCCGCCGGGGGGCCACGACCTCCTCGGTCACCACCTCCCGCCCCCTGCACCCCCCGACCAACAAGATGCGGGTTTGGGGGCTCCGGACGCTGGTCTGCTCGCCCTGCATGAGCGGCTGGCGGGAGGGCGACGTGTGGTAGTTGAGGGCCTGGATGATGAGGCCCTTGACCCGGGAGGGCAGGGTGAGGCCGGAGCCCGAGTACACGCGCCGCAGCACGTCGGTGGGCACCAGGCCGAAGCGGACGCGCTCGAGCAGCGCGGCGCAGTGGGCCAGCCGTTCGGCCTCGGGCTCCTGCCGCAGCCAGGCCAGAGCCAGGCCCAGCAGCCGGGCCTCGGGCACGCGCGCCACGTCAGGGGCACCCAGCACGGCCCTCAGCGACGCGGGGTTGAGCTCCAGCAGCCCGGCGGGGCCCGCGCCCCGCGCCAGCAGCTCCCGCAGGTGGCTCACAATGCAGCGCTCGGCCACGCCCAGCGTGTGCACCAGGCCGAAGCGCGCCGCCATGTTGGCGGCGAAGCAGCAGTTATCAGGGGCTAGCTGGCGCTCCAGGTAGCGGCCGCACAACCCCAGGGCCTCGGTGACCTGCAGGTAGCTGGCGGCCTCCAGCGTGTCCTCCACGGTGTCCATGGAGAGCGGCAGCCAGGCGGTGTAGATGAAGTCCAGCAGGCGCTGCAGGCCGGCCGCTGACGGCACATGCAGGTGGATCACGGGCGCCCGGGATTCCCGGGTGTGGCTCTTGAACAGGGCCCTGAAGTAGTCGCTGGAACACGCGAGGAGCGACCTGTGCGCCGGGAACTCGCTGCCCTCGGCCTCCAGAGTCACGTCGCACAGAAAGCCCTCGGCGCGCAGGGCCTGGTAGCCGGTGAGCAGCGCGCCGCCATGAGCTTTGCAGTAAGACAGGAAGTAACTCATGACGCCCAGGGCGGGAAGTGGCCGGGCCGGGGCTGGGGCCAGCCGGGCGCGGCCGGAGACATCCCGGGACACGGCGCCGCCAGGTCCCCCGTGCGAGCCGAAGAGCCCCTAGCAGGGGCCCATTTTTGCCTGCTCAGCTTAAATCCCAGGCCTCCTTCATACAGGTCCGCAGATCTCCCAGTCCCCCTCTCAGAGCAAATCGGGTCGGGGAACGGTTTCCAGAAGCCCCTAGTAGCGGAGGGCACGGCGTTTGGAGTCTTCCGGGAGGTGCAGGGCTCGGTTTCGGCGGCAGCCGAGGCTGCCAGAGCGTTGCCCAAAGCCCACTCCACGGCCCAGTTTAGGGAGCCCACACCTGCGCGCCAGGGGCCGCGGTGGCCGCGCACCATCACCTGGAAGGGCGGAGCTGCAGGTAGACTGACTCCAGGGGAGTGCTGGATCTCCGACGGCCAGATGCGCAGATGTGGCCCGACTCGGGCCGTCCGGGGAGTGCGGGGCGAGGGCTCTGACCTCCCGGGGGTGGACAAGGAGGGTTTTGCGGGCACCCGCGAGGGCCGGGGACAACTAGCTACGGGGCAAGGGGGGTGAGCTTGTTCCGCGCGGAGGATCAAATCAAAGCCTAGGGGATTAGGGAGGGGGGGCTCAGGTCAGCGCGGAGGGTCGGAGGCGTGATTGGCCGCAGCACATAACATGCCGGTAGCTCACAGCGACAGGAATAGCGCGCGGCCTCGGCCTTCCCGGCGCGCCCCGCCCCACGCCCCGGCTGCTGGCTGAGAACGGAGGGCCGGGACGCGGGAGCAAGCGGCCCGGGCCTGGGACATGACTCCGGCGACCCCACAAGCCTCCGGTCACCAGCGGGTCCCGGGAACCTGGCTGGGGTGCGGGAGGCGCTCACTGGAGAGGCGCGAGTCGCGGGGATCCTGTGCCTGTTGGTGTCTGGGGAGGGGCGCCCGGCTGGTCTGGAGGAGTGTCGACCCCCCGGTGTCTCTGCGCCTGGGAAAAACGCCCCTGGCTCGCAACTTCCTGCTTTGAGGAGGCCCTAATTAATCCAGCTAGAGCGGGGATTAAGCGGCGATTTTGCGCGCTGACACCCAGGAGGCCACTGCGCTCGGAGGAGCAGCTGGCGGGAATCACGCCGGGGCGAACCGACGCTCCTCGCCAGCGGCGCTCCGGAGCACGCTCCTCACCTGGACTCACCCTTGCGAGATGCTGGGCCTACTCTGCGCCCTTCCCGAGGTCTCCCTGGCTTGTCTCACATTCCGCTTTCAGGAATTTGCTCCCACCCAGCTCCCCGACCCCGGCTGAGTTCCCCCTTCCTGTTCTTAGACCCCACCCGGCCCATCCCTTGGCAAAGTGGACACGGAGATTGTAGGTGACTTGGGTTTTCTGCCTTTGAATGACCACTTCATTTAAGAAAATAAGTCTTTCCAGTTTGTCTCCCAGGCTTTACAGGCTCTGATGTAATTACTGCCTGCTCCATTCTTAATGCCGTGACGTGATAATGGGCAGTAAGGTTGCAAAGCTCGGTAGAGGCTGGAGTTTTGAAGGGCCCATCCTCATGAAGTTATTTTTATAAGATGCACCCAGCACGGAAATGATGACTAAAACCACCCCAATCTTGAGACATCAGGAAAGCATTTCTCATCTCTGACACCCTGCTCTTAAATAACTAAATGATTAATATAGCTGTTCTTTCTTGCCAGTTTGGAGGGTTCTGTGTGTTTTGCTTTCATCTAGAATTGATTTTTCTATTTTCTACTACAACCCTTCTGGTAATCTGTTTTAAGTGCACCTTTTGAAGGCATGTGAAATAACTTGCATTTCTGAGAGTTAGGGTTGTATTTCATTTAAAAAAAAAATCCAAGGAAGGATAAAATTCATCATTTTCTGCCTGGTATGCCATCGGTACTTACAGGGCCTCCAGTTAGAAGCAATTCTTGAAGTACATAAAAATATTAGTAAAATGATTTTGCTTTGTTGTCAAAGATGAAACTGATTTATGACTTAAATTAGTCAAATTATAAAATGCAGGCAGGGGCTCCGGTTAAGGGCTTACTTAAACTCCAGAGACTAAAAATACTGCAATTTGAATTCTTAATGTTAGAGCTACAGAAGGGGGGGGGCAGTGCTAGTTGGTTTGGGTTTTTCTTTCTTTTTTTTTTTTTTTTGTAAAGCACTAAAATTCTTAGTTCAAAAATAAAATACCAGTTTGGTTCGCTGTGCACAGATCTGTATGGTGAAATTAAATGGCCTTTACTCAACCTGATAGAATTTTGCTAGAAGGTATATTTGAGATCATTTAGCCAAACCCTCTCCCTTTCCTCCCCAGTTTCTTGTTTTTCTTTTTAAAAATGTAGCAAATGAGCCCCAGAGAGAGTACGGTTTGTCTGGGTGACTTGGATATTGAGTTACAGAGTCTGGACCAGAATCCAGGGCTCCCTCCCCACTATATTATGTGACCTCATGTATGATAAAAATAAAATAGTGCAACACACAGTCAGTTTATTTAAACCAAATTTCAGAGCGATAAAATTTAAATACAGTTTCTTAAACAGCATATTTCTCACCCTGAAATTGGACCACAGCCCATCAGATCTGTCCATCACCATGCATTCAGTCTGAATCGAAAACGTCACACTTACTTGAGAATAGAGATGCTGTGGAAGATTTTAAACTCTTGACATCAAAAATCCAATTTTGTACAACAGGTACCTGTTCATTGCCAGCCCAACATGCCACCTCAACGTGTCTTGCCATTGAGGATATGATGAAATGTGTTAAGTGAAGAAATTTTCATATTAGATGTGTCTACAAGGTCTTGTTTAGAAAATGTAACTGTCAGTCCATCCAAGAACATTCTTGTCCTTTGAGTAATGTTTATGGAAAATATTGATATTTTAATTTCTGGGCAATATTAACTAGGATATGATTGTTCTGTTGAAAATGATCTGCTTCTAAGAAGTTGTCCTCCCCCTTTAGACTATGAACTCCTTGAGGCTGGGGACTGTTTCTTGGTCTTTGTATATCCAGCCCCTGTCACAGTCTTTGGCATAAATAATGTTGAGTTGAACAGATAGAGGGAATGAGACTGTCAGTGGGAGGAGTAAAGGGTTGTTAAGAGGAACCTGACTGAGACAGTTACTTCTTTCTCTTTCTCTCTGCTTCTCTTTCTTCCCTTCACACAGCTGCAGTTGCAGACACACCCTGGTATGGCCATGAGCTAATAACATCCCTAGGAATCAAGTGGGTCACCATGCGTGGCCTGCAACTGAGAGAAGACCCTACCACTTCATCCAGCCCCCTGCTCTACAACCCTAGTCCTTTACCAAGGCCAGCCCCACATGGTTCTTGGCATCCAGTCAGACTCACTGCTACTCCACCAACCCGGACGCAGGGCCCCCTGTGCCCCAGCAGCCCCTACACACCCCAGTTTGTATGGCCAGGCTTCTGCCGAAGGCCCAGCTACACACTCCAGCACGCCTGTTAGGACCGTGCAATTTATCCTGAACCCCCCACCCCTTGTCAGGACTGTGACCTGCTGTCGATGATCCCTTCCATACATCTGCACCTCCTGTGACAGAGCCTAGAACTAAAGTCCTCCAAGCACCCGCCTCACTTCCCACATCAAAGTGGCAGTGCTGGTCAGCCGTGGCACTCCACTTTCCCTGACTTGGCCCTACCTAGCTAAATGTAAATTCCATAGCTCTCACCTCTAAAATAATTGTATATGTCAAAAAAAATTGAAAACTACAAACGTCCATGTATAATAGGCACTTAAAATTTTTTTTGCAAATGTAATGTGCTTTTTTTGGTAACAGCTTTGTTGAGATATAATCCACATACCATACGATTCACTCATTCAAAGTGTACAGTTCAGTGGTTCTTAGCATATTTCCAGAGTTATGCAAACATCTCCAGAGTCTCATTTGGGAACATTTTCATAATCTCAAATAGAAACCCTGTGCCCTTTAACTCTCACTTCCCTGTACCACCTGTCCTGCAAGCCCTGAGCAACCACTGATCTATTTTCTATCTCTGTAGATTCTGGATATTTCATGTAAATGGAATTATGTAATACATGGTCTCCTGTGACTGACTTCTTTGACTTAGTATAATGTTTTCAAGGTTCATCCATTGTAATGCACTTCTGAGGAAAAAAAGGATTTGTATAATAATAACATTGGGAACCTTTTCTCAAAACCACAACATTCTAAAAAATATGCCCTGTGATATTTAGGATACAGTTTTTGGCAGGTTAACTCTTTATCATCTATCATTACTGACTCCTTTCAATACCAGCATACTTCCAACACACGGCTTCTGGCATCCTCCATGGAGAGCTTATTATTATAAATTGACACATTAACTAATTGTGAAAACATGATGACAAACAATAACAGACATGCAGTAGAGAAAAAAATCCCATGTTAACTTCACCCAGGTTAACAAGACCATTTTTTGTGTATGTGAGATGTTATTTTATCTTTGTGACATGCAGTTCAAGTGAAAGGATTTCAAGGGGTGGAGTGTGTGCGTGTGTGTCTTAATCATGAGTGATTTGGGCATTCTGGCCCAGCTGACAGCTAAAGAAGCAGTGTGCTAGGTGGGGAAGGACTGGGCTTTGGACTCAGACAGACCTGGGCTCCAATTCCAGATCTGCCCCATTAGACTTTAAGCAAGTGACTTAAGTTCTGTGAGTGTCATTTTATTATTTTTAAAAGGAGGATACCGCTTCTACATTCATAACACTGTTAAAATAAAATTAAGTTATGTATCTATGACCATTCCTGGCCTGAGTATACACAATAGATGTGAGTTTCTCTTCCTTCTCACTCCCTTAAAGCCTTCTGAAAACTTATCATACCAGAGGCCAAGCAGCCAGGAAATGTAGTAAAGCAGTGGTTTTCAGTGGTCCTCCTGCAGCATCACCTGGGAACCTGTTAAGAAGTGTAAATTCTCGGCCCCGCCTCAAATCTACTGCATCAGAAACCCCAGGAATGGGCCCAGCAATCTGCT